CATTTTTTATCCAAAACCAAACTCAGTCTTCTTTCTCTGCCACACATTTCTTTACGAATTTCATATTGCCCCCTTGAGGAGTTTCGCCCTCATTGTATTCATAGAACCATTTTCCCGAACTTTAGGCTATGAGCCTATCATGGATCAAGTCTTGGATGCGAGGGAGTGGATAACGATCTTTGATTGTCACTTTGTTGAGCGCCCGGAAGTCAATGCAAAAGCGCCAGTCTCCTGTCTTCTTTGGTACTAACACAACTTCGGAAGCATATGGTGAACAACTTGGGCGGATAACTTTCTGATCTAACATTTTCTGTACTTCTGCATCCACAACTTTCTTCTGTTCCTCAGTAATTGGACGCGAGCGGACGACAACAGGTCGATCGGTTGTTAGACGAATCCTATGTTCGAGTTCAGCGGCCTTTCCACGCTGCTCGCCCCTCCAAAGGCCGTCGTACTCGCTTAGCAGATCGCGGACTTCTTGACGTTGAGCTTCATTCAATGGCGAATCTGAAAAATCGAGGGTCACGGAGGGCGAAGTAGCGAAAGCAGAGTTGGAAGCTGGAGGATCGACAGACGGTGGAGTGCGAAGGGACAATGGGCCCGTAGATGGTATTCAAAACACGATTAGGAATGTCATGGACAGCACCAAGTTGACTCAAAAATGGAAGACCAAATAACGCAATACATGGAAGATCAGTTACTACCGCACATTTCACCGACACAGTTACAGAATTAGACAACGTCACAGGTAAGTCGATCCATTTAGCCACGTCGTTAGCTTTGCCACCAACCCCATGCAACGCCCGAATGGGTGAACAGCAGGTATGTAAGGAAGGGAAGAAGGACATAAGAGATAATATTTAATTGTGATCCAGAATCAACGAGAGCAAGAAACGAGGATGAACGATTGAGAAATTCAATGAATTGGAGCTTATGGACAAAATCATCACACGAAGAGTTGCTGAAAAACGAGGAAGGAATGGACGTAGACAACGAAAAACACGTAGACGAAGGGTAGTCAGAGCTTTGCGAATTATAATGGAATGTATGTATCAGGTTAACAGTCGAAAGAATGGGCACGAAATATTCGCCGTTGGGTAGAGGACTGCGCCAAGTTGGTCATTGGAATATCGGAAGTTGCGGGGCGTTGTGGGTTCTGCAGGCGTAGGGGACTGTAACAGACGATGTCGAGCTTCTATTTCCTCTTTGGCGCGTCGTAGATGTTCGTAATCGGCTAATACTTTGGCTTCATCTGTAATTGCAGCTGTTCGTAATCGTAGACCACCTTGTGGATTGTGTAACGACTAAGCCTTTCGTGGTAGCTGGCGTGGATCCGTCTGTTTGCCAACGAGTTGCGATGCATTGGTGCTTTCCTTTTAATTCAGTATACAATTGATGGCACACCTCACACTCAAGAACTTCAATACCCCTGGAACGCATGGATTGTGCCCAAACTTCACTTTTTCTGTTGCTGATGAGTCATTGGATGTCACGGCGGGGAAGTAGCTTCTGTTCTGCGGAGAGTTCACCTAACGGCTCAAAATCAGAAGTTCGCAGCATCTCACGGGTTTCCATGCGTCGTTGACGTTCAACTTTCCATTTTCGATGTAATTGATCCATCGACATTTCCTTTTCTTCGTCTGTCAGAAATTCAGGGGCGCGTTCAGCTTGCTTTGCGTTCTGCTTCCCGTTTGCGGAGTTTGTCAAGTAGTTCAGCTTCGGACAATTTGGCGAAGTCTTCTTTTAATTCGTCGGGAATTGGGTCACGAGACGCAAGGTTGATGGTTACTTTTCGAGCTTTTGAAGTAGGAGTTCGTCGCACTGTTGTGAATTTAGCGTTCGCGCTCTGTTCAATAGTAAGATCGTCAGAGTTGCAGTCTTCTGGGCCATCTTCAGCAAGGGGAGCGAACTGGTGGCGCATGTGATGCTGGGATGAACTTCTGATCGACGGGGTGTCAGCATGGTGTCAGAGCATGTTGGCGTCGTGGAAACTGGAGTTGGCGGGGGTGGGAGAAGGCATAGAAGGAGTAACAACTGTGTCCTTCAACAGTGGTGAGATGGTCAAGTTTGTCGGCGAGGTTTTCCATAGCCATCGCAATATAGGTGGCTGTAGGAGCTTCAGCAACGGTATTGGCGATAGAAAGAACTAGAGTTTCTAGGGGGACAAGTAGTGCACGGATTTCATGAATAACTTTTTGTAGATCCTCAGCTGGATTGGCGGGAGACGGTGCTGGACTGGTTGCAGAAGTTGCAAAGTTGGCGAATGGTTCAATTGCAGCACGAATTAGTTTGGTAGCATCTTCAATTGAAACAACGTTGATAGCGGAGGAGGACACCGTACGATCCCCCACAGCTTGGGTTCCGCTTCACCGGACCACTAATAAGATTCGCGGCCCAAAGCGTGGGAATGGTGATCATTGTTGCGAACGGAAAGAAGAACGGTGCAAGTCCAGCAAAATCCGGAGTTCAACACGTAAGTACCAGCAGCAGAGAGCGTGGATACCGTTACCCACATGGATGAAGAGTTGGCAAAGTAAGAAACCATGGGGAAAAGCCAGGGAAAAACACACTGAACTATGGAAACGTAGATAAAAAAGCCGGTCAAAATCATTAAGACCACGAACGCAGGATACTTTAGGCATCTGAGAATGAAATGATGCGTGAAGTATACAATATAACCACAAAGAAGTAGGATAAACAGCATACCCAGAAAGTTGGGGTCATGGATGTCTAGCGTGAGCAGCGTAGACAGAAAGCACATAAAAACGGAGAAGAAGGCGGCTGTCATTCTAAGAAGGGGGAAAGGAAACCGTAGATTCCGAGGTTGAGAAAAATATTAAAAGCTTACGGGTGAGTGAGCTCAGACAACAATTGCACTGCCAAGTGTGGTGGTGCTCCTAGGGCGGGAGACAAGAGGATAGCATGCTTGATTTCTTTTCCTGGTTTTCTTAAGTCTGTGTCTCGTAGAACAAAGTCTCAAAAACCATCAATCGATGCCCACAACGTCCATTTTAGTGACAAAAAGCAGCACTTTCATTGACACAGTGGCATAGATTAAAATTAATTCGTTTGTAGGGCGTTTAGCTCAAATGGTAGAGCGTTTTCCTTAGCATGCAAGAGGTAGTGGGATCGATGCCCTCGTCGTCCATTTTACTTCTTAAAACAACATTGTTACAAGATCAAAGCAGCACTTTCATTGACACAGTGGCACAGATTACAATTAATTCGTTTGTAGGGCGTTTAGCTCAAATGGTAGAGCGCTTGCTTTGCATGCAAGAGGTAGTGGGATCGATGCCCACAACATCGTGGGATCGATGCCCACAACGTCCATTTTAGTGGGATCGATGCCCACAACGTCCATTTTAGTGGGATCGATGCCCACAACGTCCATTTTAGTGGGATCGATGCCCACAACGTCCATTTTAGTGGGATCGATGCTCACAACGTCCATTTTTAGGGGGATCGATGCCCACAACGTCCATTTAAGGGGATCGATGCCCACAACGTCCATTTTAGGGGGATCGATGCCCACAACATCCATTTTACTCCTTAAAACATACAAGATATCAAAGCAGCACTTTCATTGACACAGTGGCACAGATTAAAATTAATTTGTTTGTAGGGCGTTAGCTCAAATAGTAGAGCGCTTGCTTAGCATGCAAGAGGTAGTGGGATCGATGCCCACAACTTCTATTTTACCCCTTAAAACAACATTGTTACAAGATCTCAAAGCAGCACTTTCATTGACACAGTGGCACAGATTAAAATTAATTCGTTTGTTGAGCTGTAAAGTCATAGGGTAGCTAGATGGCGTGATCGTCCACTAGAGTCATGGCACAGATTTTCCATCGCTGTGTCCGCGTGTTGTCTAGTCGCTTCCACGTCTGGGAGCTTTCCTTTTTCCTTGTCCCACGGCTGTACAAACTTGGTGCCTGCTAAAAGGTTAGCCCTCAACTTCAGTCACAGTTTCCCCCAACCCACTCTCGCACCCCCATCCGCCGGTTCGGCAACAGCTCTTTAACAGATCACGAACTAACTTTTCATTTGTAGGGTGTTTAGCTCAAATGGTAGAGCGCTTGCTTAGCATGCAAGAGGTAGTGGGATCGATGCCCACAACTTCTATTTTAGTGGGATCGATGCCCACAACTTCTATTTTAGTGGGATCGATGCCACAACTTCTATTTTAGTGGGATCGATGCCCACAACGTCCATTTTACTCCTTAAAACATTGTTACAAGATCTCAAAGCAGCACTTTCATTGACACAGTGGCACAGATTAAAATTAATTCGTTTGTAGGGCGTTTAGCTCAAATGGTAGAGCGCTTGCTTAGCATGCAAGAGGTAGTGGGATCGATGCTATCATCGTCCATTTTACTTCTTAAAACAACATTGTTACAACATCTCAAAGCAGCACTTTCATTGACACAGTGACACAGGTTAAACTTAATTCGTGTGTAGGGCGTTTAGCTTTGCATGCAAGAGGTAGTGGGATCGATGCCACAACGTCCACTTTACTCCTTAAAACAACATTGTTACAAGATCTCAAAGCAGCACTTTCATTGACACAGTGGCACAGATTAAAATTAATTCGTTTGTATGCCCTCATCGTCTATTTTACTTCTTAAAACAACATTGTTACAACATCTCAAAGCAGCACTTTCATTAACACAGTGACACAGGGTTAAACTTAATTCGTTTGTAGGGCGTTTAGCTTTGCATGCAAGAGGTAGGGGGATCGATGCCCACAACGTCCATTTTACTCCTTAAAACAACATTGTTACAAGATCTCAAAGCAGCACTTTCATTGACACAGTGGCACAGATTAAAATTAATTTGTTTGTAGGGCGTTTAGCTCAAATGGTAGAGCGTTTTCTTAGCATGCAAGAGGTAGTGGGATCCATGCCTCATCGTCCATTTTACTTCTTAAAACAACATTGTTACAAGATCAAAGCAGCACTTTCATTGACACAGTGGCACAGATTAAAATTAATTTGTTTGTAGGGCGTTTAGCTCAAATGGTAGAGCGCTTGCTTTGCATGCAAGAGGTAGTGGGAATCGATGCCCACAACGTCGTGGGATCGATCCCCACAACGTCCATTTTAGTGGGATCGATGCCCACAACGTCCATTTTAGTGGCAAAAAGCAGCACTTTCATTGACACAGTGGCACAGATTAAAAATTAATTCGTTTGTAGGGCGTTTAGCTCAAATGGTAGAGCGCTTTCTTAGCATGCAAGAGGTAGTGGGATCGATGCCTTCATCGTCCATTTTACTTCTTAAAACAACATTGTTACAAGATCAAAGCAGCACTTTCATTGACACAGTGGCACAGATTAAAATTAATTCGTTTGTAGGGCGTTTAGCTCAAATGGTAGAGTGCTTGCTTTGCATGCAAGACGTTGTGGGCATCATAAAACAACATTGTTACAAGATCAAAGCAGCACTTTCATTGACACAGTGGCACAGATTAAAATTAATTCGTTTGTAGGGCGTTTAGCTCAAATGGTAGAGTGCTTGCTTTGCATGGCTTGCTTTGCATGCAAGAGGTAGTGGATTGATGCCCACAACGTCGTGGGATCGATGCCACAACGTCCATTTTAGTGGGATCGATGCCCACAACGTCCATTTTAGTGGGATCGATGCCACAACGTCCAATTTTAGTGGGATCGATGCCCACAACGTCCATTTTAGTGGGATCGATGCCCACAACTTCTATTTTAGTGGGATCGATGCCCACAACGTCCATTTTACTCCTTAAAACAACATTGTTACAAGATCAAAGCAGCACTTTCATTGACACAGTGGCACAGATTAAAATTAATTCGTTTGTAGGGCGTTTAGCTCAAATGGTAGAGTGCTTGCTTTGCATGCAAGACGTTGTGGGCATCATAAAACAATATTGTTACAAGATCAAAGCAGCACTTTCATTGACACAGTGGCACAGATTAAAATTAATTCGTTTGTAGGGCGTTTAGCTCAAATTGTAGAGTGCTTGCTTTGCATGCAAGAGGTAGTGGGATTGATGCCCACAACGTCGTGGGATCGATGCCACAACGTCCATTTTAGTGGGATCGATGCCCACAACGTCCATTTTAGTGGGATCGATGCCCACAACGTCCATTTTAGTGGGATCGATGCCCACAAACGTCCATTTTAGTGGGGATCGATGCCCACAACGTCCATTTTAGTGGGATCGATGCCCACAACGTCCATTTTAGTGGGATCGATGCCCACAACGTCCATTTTAGGGGGATCGATGCCCACAACGTCCATTTTAGGGGGATCGATGCCCACAACGTCCATTTTAGGGGGATCGATGCCCACAACGTCCATTTTAGGGGGATCGATGCCACAACGTCCATTTTGGGGGAATCGATGCCCACAACATCCTCCTTAAAACAACATTGTTACAAGATATCAAAGCAGCACTTTCATTGACACAGTGGCACAGATTAAAATTAATTCGTTTGTAGGGCGTTTAGCTCAAATGGTAGAGCCCTTGCTTAGCATGCAAGAGGTAGTGGATCGATGCCCACAACTTCTATTTTAGTGGGAAACCACAACGTCCATTTTACTCCTTAAAACATTGTTACAAGATCTCAAAGCAGCACTTTCATTGACACAGTGGCACAGATTAAAATTAATTCGTTTGTAGGGCGTTTAGCTCAAATTGTAGAGCGCTTGCTTAGCATGCAAGAGGTAGTGGGATCGATGCCCCACAACTTCTATTTTAGTGGGATCGATGCCCACAACTTCCATTTTACTCCTTAAACAACATTGTTACAAGATCTCAAAGCAGCACTTTCATTGACACAGTGGCACAGATTAAAATTAATTCGTTTGTAGGACGTCTCCTTAAAACAACATTGTTACAAGATCTCAAAGCAGCACTTTCATTGACACAGTGGGCACAGATTAAAAATTAATTCGTTTGTAGGGCGTTTAGCTTTGCATGTAAGAGGTAGTGGGCATCGATCCCACTAAAACTTCTATTTTAGTGGGATCGATGCCCACAACATCCATTTTACTCCTTAAAACATACAAGATATCAAAGCAGCACTTTCATTGACACAGTGGCACAGATTAAAATTAATTTGTTTGTAGGGCGTTAGCTCAAATGGTAGAGCGCTTGCTTAGCATGCAAGAGGTAGTGGGATCGATGCCCATAACTTCTATTTTTAGTGGGATCGATGCCCACAACTTCCATTTTACTCCTTAAAACAACATTGTTACAAGATCTCAAAGCAGCACTTTCATTGACACAGTGGCACAGATTAAAATTAATTCGTTTGTAGGGCGTTTAGCTCAAGTGGTAGAGCCCTTGCTTAGCATGCCAGAGGTAGTGGGATTGATGCCCACAACTTCTATTTTAGTGGGAAACCACAACGTCCATTTTACTCCTTAAAACATTGTTACAAGATCTCAAAGCAGCCCTTTCATTGACACAGTGGCACAGATTAAAATTAATTCGTTTGTAGGGCGTTTAGCTCAAATGGTAGAGCGCTTGCTTAGCATGCAAGAGGTAGTGGGATCGATGCCCACAACTTCTATTTTAGTGGGATCGATGCCCACAACTTCCATTTTACTCCTTAAAACAACATTGTTACAAGATCTCAAAGCAGCACTTTCATTGACACAGTGGCACAGATTAAAATTAATTCGTTTGTAGGGCGTTTAGCTTTGCATGTAAGAGGTAGTGGGATCGATGCCCATAACGTCCATTTTAGTGGGATCGATGCCACAACGTCCATTTTAGTGGGATCGATGCCCACAACGTCCATTTTAGTGGGATCGATGCCCACAACGTCCATTTTAGGGGGCGATGCCCAAAACGTCCATTTTAGGGGGATCGATGCCCACAAACGTCCATTTTAGGGGGATCGATACCCACAACTTCCATTTTAGTGGGATCGATGCCCACAACGTCCATTTTAGGGGGATCGATGCCCACAACGTCCATTTTAGGGGGATCGATGCCCACAACATCCATTTTAGGGGGATCGATGCCCACAACGTCCATTTTAGGGGGATCGATGCCCACAACATCCATTTTTGTTAGGTTCATAGCTTGGAAACACAAGTGAGGAAGAATTCTGAAATTACAACAAGATTATAAGAATCTTGAGGGGGCGAAAGGGCTTTTTGATGGTGGAATGAATGGAGGAAGACAGACTGAGTTCAGAAAGTTTATTGGTGTGAAAATGCCAATTGGGACAGAAAATACAAACAAAAAGGATAGAAAAGACAAGAACAACAGGAGAGGGCTTTGGCCTTGAAACGGATCAAAAGGTAAATCAATAAGAAATATATCACAGTTGTCGTAATCGGAATGGCGTTAAGCTTCAAATCAAAAGGTTGAGGGTTCAAAGAACCGGTAATTGCTTTTTTTCTTGACATCAAATAACACAACTTATGTTCTTTAAGCCGAAAACCCTACACGACCCCCCTCCAGAACATAAGTTGTGCGAACCTGATCCAGTAAACACTTTTGATTGTGATGTTGCGGCCAATCCTTTTTTCAAAATAATGTGTTCCATCAATGAATATATTCTGGAAAATGAATTCTCAAGCAATTCATGAATTGTTGACAGCTGGTGTGGGAGAGCAAGAGAACGCATGCAGAACCGATTGACCGTTTTGTGGCAAAGTTGCAAAATAGCTTCAAAATTGGCCTTTTTTCTTCTGTGACCCCTGTGATTTCTTTTCTTTTTTTGAACATTTGGAAACCACGGAAATTCCGTGAACTTTTTGAAGATTTCATCCCTTTTCACATAAACAAAATACTGTTGATTCTCAGGGTCCTTCTGCCAGATGAGTCGTCTTTTAAATAGTGGAGGTGGTTGATTTTCTGGAGTTGAAATTAGATTTTCTTTCAATGGGCGATTCCTCTTTCCAAGTCGCTCCAAAGAAAAACAAATCTTTTTAATATTCTCTAAAAACTGCGGCCATTCCTCATCAAGAAATTTAAGAAGTTGAAGTCCTACGCATCCTTCATCTTCAGAACCCTCCCGGGTCACGGCACCACTTGTTAGGTTCATAGCTTGGAAACACAAGTGAGGAAGAATTCTGAAATTACAACAAGATTATAAGAATCTTGAGGGGGCGAAAGGGCTTTTTGATGGTGGAATGAATGGAGGAAGACAGACTGAGTTCAGAAAGTTTATTGGTGTGAAAATGCCAATTGGGACAGAAAATACAAACAAAAAGGATAGAAAAGACAAGAACAACAGGAGAGGGCTTTGGCCTTGAAACGGATCAAAAGGTAAATCAATAAGAAATATATCACAGTTGTCGTAATCGGAATGGCGTTAAGCTTCAAATCAAAAGGTTGAGGGTTCAAAGAACCGGTAATTGCTTTTTTTCTTGACATCAAATGACACAACTTATGTTCTTTAAGCCGAAAACCCTACAATTTTACTCCTTAAAACATACAAGATATCAAAGCAGCACTTTCATTGACACAGTGGCACAGATTAAAATTAATTTGTTTGTAGGGCGTTAGCTCAAATGGTAGAGCGCTTGCTTAGCATGCAAGAGGTAGTGGGATCGATGCCCACAACTTCTATTTTAGTGGGATCGATGCCCACAACGTCCATTTTACTCCTTAAAACAACATTGTTACAAACATCTCAAAGCAGCACTTTCATTAACACAGTGACACAGGTTAAACTTAATTCGTTTGTAGGGCGTTTAGCTCAAATGGTAGAGCGCTTGCTTAGCATGCAAGAGGTAGTGGGATCGATGCCCTCATCGTCCATTTTACTTCTTAAAACAACATTGTTACAACATCTCAAAGCAGCACTTTCATTGACACAGTGACACAGGTTAAACTTAATTCGTGTGTAGGGCGTTTAGCTTTGCATGCAAGAGGTAGTGGGATCGATGCCCACAACGTCCACTTTACAAAACAACATTGTTACAAGATCTCAAAGCAGCACTTTCATTGACACAGTGGCACAGATTAAAATTAATTCGTTTGTAGGGCGTTTAGCTCAAATGGTAGAGCGCTTGCTTAGCATGCAAGAGGTAGTGGGATCGATGCCCTCATCGTCCATTTTACTTCTTAAAACAACATTGTTACAACATCTCAAAGCAGCA